CCCCCCCTTGCCGATTTATTTATTTTGCTGCTGGGATATTTTGTCGTGACCGCCTCCTTCGCCCTTTTATTTATTTGGTTACTGGGCTATTTGACCTGAAACTCCTCCCCGCCCCCCCTTCTCTCCTGTGGGCTCAGGCTCCAGCTATTTTCTTAATTTTCCCTACTAGGCTTTCAGCATGTGAAATCATCTGTGTAATGCGTGTATCGGTTTCCACAGTCTTTTTTTTTTTTCCTTTTTATTGTTCGCCAGAATCTTATAGGTCTATAGTACTCTATACTCTCCAGAGGGGCGCACCCTACAGTCGAGTTGGTTTTCGGAGGGGGGGGAGGTGAGGAGGGGGGAAAGGTGGGGGGAGGAGGGTAGGTGTGGGGTGGGGCGGGGTGGGGCGGGGTGCCAGCGGTCTCACATATCAGGCACAGGCACTCATTAAGGCAGCATCGCAGCAGTCGTCCAGCGTGGTTGGTGGATCTTTTTTTTATTTTTATTGTGCTGTGGCTAATTTACCAACGTGCTTGGCGAATCTTTGGATAAGGAGTACAAATTGGTTAACTACGTCAGCGATACCTCCGTGACATCCCCGGAGATGGTCCTTGGGTCAATGACGGAAGAGGGAAAGAGGAGGATGCTGTATGTGTGAGGGAGAAGGACGACGGGTAACCTCCTTGGGGATGACCATTGAGGCGACGGTCGAAATGAATGCGGGAGCCAACACCCGCCAGAGCTACAATCCTTGTTCCATTTCATCAATGTACAGAGAGTTAAAAAAAAAAAAAAAAAAAAAAAAAAAAAAAACAGAGTTCTTAAGAAGAATGACCTTGGGCTAGAAGACGGGAGAAAAATAAAATGTACATTCTACAGAGAGTTTTGTCGTGCAGAGCGTGACTACGCGCCTCGTCGGACCATTGCCAATGGCACAATTTTTTTTTGGAAAAAAAGTAAAAAACTATGGTGATGCATCTTTCCATGTTCTTGCAGAAGATTAGTTTTGCACATTTGGTGAGTGGTGCGACAAGGCCCTTCATGTGTGTAACTGCATGTCTGTGTCTCGCATGAATTACATCCATTGCTGCTAAAATGAGAAGCTGGGGCCTGCCGGACCCCCCATCTAAAAAAAGATGAGGGGTCCGTGGTCCATTGAACCACATGCTGCTAAAATGAGAAGCTGGGGCCTGCTGGACCCCTCATCTAAAAAAAGAATGTCCGGTGATCTGCAAAAATCAGCGGCAGTGACCCTCCACCAAGTTTTGTCAACAAGTGGGGCCCATAAGGCCCCTTCCTCCTTCCTTTTCTTTGGTGCTCATGCTTGCCAGTGATAAGCAACCGCACTGATGCCCCCCCAGAATAGAAGGGGCTGGGGTTAAACAAAAAAAAAAAAAAAAGGCCCTGTTTTTTTATTTAAGGGAGGCAAGGGGGCCTCCCGGGGTCAGGGGAATTGCACGGATGCCGGTGACTCCCTGGTGCCCCCGCCCCCCCCCCCCCTGCACGATGCGTTGGGTTGGACCGGGGGCCTGCGGGGCTGCTGGACCGCCCGGTCCGACCGGCGGGCTCGCGGTCGGGGGGGAGGGCTCGAGCTCCCCGGTCCATCCGGGACCACCTCTGATCCATGGCAATTTTTTATTTTGGAATTTCGAAATTCCGTGTGATCTGCAGTTCATTAATTAGTTTCATCAACTTTCATGTGTGTTTTCAAGAATTGAAAAATTCAGAACTCAAGATATGTAATTTCGAAACTCTAAATTTTAAAATTCAGAAAATAAAAAAAGAAAAAACCACAAAATGCAAGAGTTAAAAAACAAAACAAAACAGAAACTCAAATAAATAAATAAATAAATAAATATTTAAAATTGTGATCCACCGCATGGGATGGATGCGTGGGTCAGAAATTTACAGGCATAGCCGCATAATGTTTTTTTTCTTTTTCCCCCGAGTATTTTCTTTGAAAAAAGCACCACTAGCTTTGCCAGGGCGAATTTCTGTTTGAGAACATGTACACTACCGCCTTTTTTCAGATGAACAATGCTCTGCCCGACCGACATGGCAGGCAGTACCAGCCAAAAAAGAAGACAACGTCCCCATGGGGGTTCCTTTTTTTTTGGCGCTCAGGGGACATCTGCGTCGCAAAAAGGACCCTGGCCCGACCAAAATGGCGGGCAGCGCCAGCCAAAAAAAACGGAGAAGACGCCCACCATGGCGGTTCGTTTCTCTTTTGGCGCTCAGGGGACATCTGCATATCGCAAAAAGGAGCCGGGGAGGTTGTGTAGTGATTTAAACTGTTTAAACCTAGGCCAGCCAGGCCGCCCGGGTCCCGGGTGGCCAGCCCGTGCAAGGACCAGGGAAGGTCCCAGCAAAAACGAACACTGTCTCTACCACCAACCTCACTCCCCCTCACTCTCGCTTGCACGCATGTACGAGGATCACCCTGAATGTCCACACTGTACACACACACACACTCTGTACACCCTGTCTACACAACAGCTGGCCGGCTATGGCCGCCGCTGTCTACCTCGCTGGTTTGCTATGGCCGCTCTCTTCTTCACAGCCCACTTCTTCTCTGGGCACCTGCAGTCCTCCACACACAAGATACCAAGGCAGCTCTTCCGCATGGCACACAGGCGAATGAATGAATGACTGGACGCTGCCTCTTTATTTATACCTTTTTGGAGGTACCCAGGCCTGCCTCAAAACATGTGGGCCTGGGCCAAAACGTGTGGCCCAGGGAAGTTTCCAGACGTTTGGCCTTCTGGGCCAAAACATGTGAAACCCACAGCGTGCTCCAGAACCTTCCCCACGTGCAGCCCTTACCTCTGGTACTTGCTGACTGGACTGGCCTATAGGGACCTACAACCTTCTAGAGCCTACAGACTTACAGACAGACTCTAGGCCTCAGTAGACTCAGATAGAGACTTCTAGAACAGACCTTCCTAAGCCTAACGGTAACAGACCTAACTCTAATCTACAGACCTAGGGATCAAGTCCTGCTGTCCGACCTACAGACTAGCCTAGGACGTAGGGCAGGTCTAGGGATCGAATCCTACTCAGGTCACTGGGTCTATGTACAGGTATAGGATAGGTCTAGGGATCGAATCTCACTCAGAACACAGGTTCAATGTACAGGGTTAGGGCACAGGTCTGGGGATCGAATCTCTGTGTCTGCAAAGTCGGCTCAACTGAGTGAAACCATTTCACTCCCGCCGTCCTAAATTCGAGGTCCTCCGAGAACTTTCTAACTCAAGATAGGACCTTTACCCTTTCTTGTACTACGTCGGCAGCGGTTTCTAAGAGCTCTGTCCTTGTAAACCATCGGTCGTCCTCGGGGTCCTGGTATGCGAACCTAACCTTATACTGTTTCTGGGGACGACCTCGACCTCCTGTCCTGAACACGTCCTGTCCCACTATGCGATCTATATCGTATGCACCATCCATATCTGGCGGAATCATCGATCTCCTGGAAGGGAATCTGTCAGATGTGGTGCAAGGTAACAACTTGGACGCATGGAAGACTGGAAACGTGCGGAGGTGTGCCGGAATCTCTATCGTATATGATGGGCTGTCCTCTCCTCCTTTGACTTCTAGGACAGGCCACGGTCCTCTGTACGCAGGTAAGAGCTTCTGCGAGATGTTTTCCTCGGGTGCGAACTCCTTTGACGTGAAGGTCGGCGGTGCTTGTTAGCTTGTTCTATCATCCGATGCTGGGCTTTCCTAAGATTGTCAAGGACCTTAGTGACTTCTTGCTCGTGCTGTAACGCAAACTCTCGGGTGCCGGGTGGTAGTCTTTGTATCTGATCCCGGTTTAGTCCGTCAAACGGTCGCCTAGGTCTAAAGGACTTATGCAACTCATTAGGAGTCCTGCAGGTAGCTAGATGAACACTATTATTATAGGCACTTGCTACTTTGGGAAGCATCTCATCCCAGTTTACCTGATCTGGTCTAATACACATTCTGAGTAGCTGTTGCAAGATCTTATTCATCTGCTCTGTCTGACCGTTAGTCCCTGGGTGTCGTCCTGACGACATCAACAACTCAGACCCATAGACTTTCACAAGATCCTGCCAATTCTGACTAGTAAACCGCATGTCCCTATCACTAACTATGGACAGCGGCATGCCATGCTCGCTTACCCAAAAGTCGAAAAACTTACCAATGACTAAGTCTGTACGTGCCTCTGAAGGCAGGGGAATGAAGACTGCATACTTGCTAAATCTATCCACTCTGACCATGACTTGAGTTTTACCGTGCCTACTTCTGACCCCGGTATCCATGAAGTCAATGGAAACTTAATCTCCGGGTCCTGATGGAATAGGCAAGGGTCTAAGAAGACCTAATGGGGCTCTCGTTGTGGTCTTATTACGTTGGCATACTTTGCAACTACGGACATACTCAATGCAATCTGCCTTCATGCCTGGCCACGTGTAGACATCATCAGCCTAACTAGAGTCTTTTGCCATCTGAAGTGCCCCTCTGTATCGTGGCATTCCCCTAAGATCAGACTACGGATCTCTTCACTGTTGGGGACGCATAGTCTGTCAGCGACATTGGTCTTCTCAATCGTGAGGAACTTTTGTACGATCGCTGCTCCGCTTCGTAGGTTACTGAAGAAAGAGACTATCTGG